GGGCCTAAATATTTAATAGATAGCTTCACGTGACAGCCTTTTAGTTTCAAATTTGAGTTAAATTAGTAAGTTGCTTTGTAAGAGACATATAAAACAAAAGTAAACCCAGACCCATAGGAGTCTGATGGCTTACCCTTTCTATGACTAAAAACAGTTTTGTGTTTTTAAACAGAGCTCTGTGGGGTTTACATTTTTTAATTAAATTAAGTAGAAAAATCAATACAAAAAACTAAATGTATAGTGTATGTGTGCTAAGTCACCTTCACTTGTGTCTGACTCTGTGAGGCCCTATGAACTGTAGCCTGCCAGGCTCCTCTGTCCATGGAATTCTCCAGGCAAGAAAACTGAATTGGGTAGCCATTCCCTTCCCCAAGGGATCCTCCCAACCCATGGATTGAACCCTGGTCTCCTGCATTACCTTGTGGCTCAACTGGTAAAGAACCTGCCTGCAATGCGGGAGATCTGGGTTCGATCCCTGGGTTGGGAAGATCCCCTGGAGAAGGGATTCCCACTCCAGTATTCTGGCCTAGAAAATTCCATGGACTGTATAGTCTATGGAGTTGCAAAGAGTTGGACACAACTGAGCGTCTTTCACTTTCACTTTCTCCTGCATTAAAGGCAGATTCTTTACTGTCTGAGCCACCTGGGAAGCCCAGAAAAAGCAAACCTATGCGTAAAATAGACAATCAACAAGGACCTACTCTATGGCACAGGGAACTCTACTTGAAATTCTGTAGTAACCTATATAGGAAAAGAATCTGAGAAAGAATGGATATATGAATATATATAACTGAACCTCTTTCTGTACACCTGAAACTATCACAACATTGTAAATCAACTATACCCCATATAAAATAAAAATTAAATTAAAAAAGAAAAATTAAATCCATGTCACTAGCCCTGTGCCACTAGAAAGATACTCAAACATTGAGATTATATAATCACATATTCAAACCCTCCAAGAGCTGCTCAAAATAATACTGTATTTTAGTTTGCTTTATATTTGGAACACAGTTTTCTGCTGGTTTTAATTGATTTCCATTTAACAAAAGAAGCACATGTCTTCACCATATGACTAAACTTGTTTAGGAACTTAATGCCAGTCTTCATGGCCATGGAGTCTGCTTTCTGCTTGAAGATATTCTTCTCCCTTCAAAATCAGTTGCTCTCCTAGCCTGCTTACAATTGTTATTTTAGGCCTATATACATGTATGTATGTGTATATGTATATATACTTGTCCTTGTTATAGATACAATAGCTTCTCAAATTTACCTAAGGTTACTAATTAGAATACAAAAATATTATCTTATGTTCCCATAACTCTATTTCCCATTAGTTCAGCTTTTTAAATTAAAAAAAAATAGTTCTTTTGAAAACATTACATCTGTACCTTCTTCTGATTATTTTTCAACTAAGTGAATCAGAAAAACGTGCATCAAAAAAATTGCCTATCCTTTGCCCCCATTAAAAAAAAACCCAACTTGGGTTTTTTCTATTCTGGAAACTTTCAAGGATATACAAAGTAAACAAAGTATAATGAACTTCATGTACCCATCATCCAGTTTCAATAAACATCAATGTTCTGCCATTATTTTTATAGCCAAATTATTAATTAAATAATCTTTCACATTGAGTTGGTCATTTGAATTTATATTTCATTTAGTAAATAACCCTGTTAGACCATATCATATACTCTTTTATAAGACACCAAACACCGTGTATGATAGTATTAGAAATTATTACCCAATACCCTTCCCCCACCATTTACAGGGCATTTTCTGTGCCAATGTGCTCATGGTTTATGAAAGCCCTGGTTCATCTAATTAAAGATAATCAACAATGCAAGATCTGCCCTTTAACCTGCAAAGGAAGTAGAGATGCTGTTTGTTAAAGGATTAGTAAAAGCATTCAAAATTAGAATCAGTGTGTGGAAAACAACATTTTCTGTTAAGAGGAATATGTATTCATGACTGTGTTTCTCAGATACAATAAAATGCCAACACAATTATAGCTGTCACTTGTGGGAAAGAAAGGACTATTTCTAGGGAAATCTTAATATCCATTCTGTGAGGGACAATGGTCTTTCAGTGATTTAGTACCACAGTCCTAGTTACAACACCAAGTTATAAATAAGATGCTGTTTTAAGAATTGGAATACTTTTTTCTGTATGAATGAATGAATGTGAAGTCGCTCAGTCGTGTCTCACTCTTTGCGACCCCAAGAACTGTAGCCTACTAGGCTCCTCTGTCCATGGGATTTTTCCAGGCAAGAGTACTGGAGTGGGTTGCCATTTCCTTCTCCAGGAGATCTTCCCGACCCAGGGATTGAACCCGGGTCTCCCGCATTGTAGGCAGACGCTTTACCATCTGAGCCACCAGGGAAGCCTCTTTTTCTGTATACATAATTCTAAAATTCAGAAATAAATGAAGAGTTTTAGCAAATTGAGAGCCAAAATATCTCGCTTGTGCCCACTAGAAACTAGTAAATGAATTCTGCTGACTGGAGAGCCGGCTGAGCCAGTGGTCCACAACGATTTCTTCCTCATTCTGCCTCATCCAGTTTTGTGAAGATTCCCCAGAGCTTTGTCATCATTTACCCTGGAGGCAGTAATTGGGTGGTGGAGGCAAGATGGACACTGTTGTTGTCTGATACTTTTTTTAAAAAATCAATGTATTTATTTTGGCTGTGCTAGGTCTTCTTTGCTGTGTGGGCTTTTCTCTAGCTGTAAAGAGCAGGGGCGACTCTCGAGCTGCAGTGCACATGCTTCTCATTGCAGTGGCTTCTCTTCTTGTGGAGCACAGGGTCTAGGCACACAGACTTCAACAGTTGCAGCATGAGGGCTCATCAGTTGTGGCGCACAGGCCTAGCGCATGTGGATCGAACCAGTGTCCCCTGAACTGCTCGGTCGCTTAGTTGTGTCTAACTGTTTGCAACCCCATGGACTACAGCCCACCAGATTCCTCTGTCCATGGAAAATTCCAGGCAAGGATACTGGAGTGGGTTGCCATTTACTACTCCAACTCGGCCACCCTGACTACCACTGGGCCATCCCGACTACCACTGTACCACCAGGGAAATCCAAAATAACTTTGCTTTCATAAGGGAGACTTAAGTATGGTAAAGTCCATCTAGAACTACTAGGCTCCTCTGTCCATGGGATTTTTCCAGGCAAGAGTACTGGAGTGGGTTGCCATTTCCTTCTCCAGGAGATCTTCCCGACCCAGGGATTGAACCCGGGTCTCCCGCATTGTAGGCAGACGCTTTACCATCTGAGCCACCAGGGAAGCCTCTTTTTCTGTATACATAATTCTAAAATTCAGAAATAAATGAAGAGTTTTAGCAAATTGAGAGCCAAAATATCTCGCTTGTGCCCACTAGAAACTAGTAAATGAATTCTGCTGACTGGAGAGCCGGCTGAGCCAGTGGTCCACAACGATTTCTTCCTCATTCTGCCTCATCCAGTTTTGTGAAGATTCCCCAGAGCTTTGTCATCATTTACCCTGGAGGCAGTAATTGGGTGGTGGAGGCAAGATGGACACTGTTGTTGTCTGATACTTTTTTTAAAAAATCAATGTATTTATTTTGGCTGTGCTAGGTCTTCTTTGCTGTGTGGGCTTTTCTCTAGCTGTAAAGAGCAGGGGCGACTCTCGAGCTGCAGTGCACATGCTTCTCACTGCAGTGGCTTCTCTTCTTGTGGAGCACAGGGTCTAGGCCCACAGACTTCAACAGTTGCAGCATGAGGGCTCATCAGTTGTGGCGCACAGGCCTAGCGCATGTGGATCGAACCAGTGTCCCCTGAACTGCTCGGTCGCTTAGTTGTGTCTAACTGTTTGCAACCCCATGGACTACAGCCCACCAGATTCCTCTGTCCATGGAAAATTCCAGGCAAGGATACTGGAGTGGGTTGCCATTTACTACTCCAACTCGGCCACCCTGACTACCACTGGGCCATCCCGACTACCACTGTACCACCAGGGAAATCCAAAATAACTTTGCTTTCACAAGGGAGACTTAAGTATGGTAAAGTCCATCTAGAAGGAATAATACTGTGATTAAATTTGATATTTCATCTGCTCATAACTGGTGGGCCAATATATCCCAATACACTTAGTATATTCTCTCCCAAGTAAGGCTCAAGAATCATGTATCAGAGAAACAAATAGTTGCTGTGTTTTGAATTAGGATGTAAACTTTTTCCCAAACTGAAATCGGTTGGATTAGTTATTACACTAAGCTAGGCATGAATTTTGAAAACACTTATTGAATTATATTTTTACTTACTTAATTGAAAAAGCATTATGTACGAAAAGCATATTAATGACCATTAAAAATATACAAACTACAAATATCTGGCAGTGTTCAGTTATCTTTGAAATGCTATTTCATAATGTTCTTGTTTACCATGTTTCTGTAGTGTGTGCCAGGTTATTTCCCGAAGTGTGCTTGTTAACACACACACAAAATCAATAAAGCAGATGGTTTTATATTTTATTTCAAACAGACTGCATCTTCACTGTTGCCCAAACTAGAAAGCCTGCTACCAGCTCTACCAATATTTTAGCTGTCCTCTAATTCGTAGTTCGATTTTAAATGAGACAAAAAATAGTTAACTACTTCCATTCCTCAGTTCCTTTCCAACCTTATTTAGGAACTGTAGAGATGTATTCTAGTTTGCGTGCACAATATTTTGCTATTTCTAATACCATTTTCATGCCAAACTTTACAAAAGGCTTCTACAAATCTATTGCTGTCATTGGTTCGACAAAATAACTGGATTTGGTCATAATTATAAATTTAGGTTTCCTAAGCACAGGGGGAAATCACTTTATAATAATATATTCTTCTATCCCTTTTCAATTTGTGAAGGACATAATTCCTTGCTTAGATAAACAAAGTGAGGAAATGCCAGAATTTTGTTATCCACTTACTCCTTTAACGCATTTGCAGGCTGTTTAACACTCTCTGATGGACTATAATGCATCATTCCAAACAATAAGGTGTGTGCTATTCCTTCACTGATAATTTTTATTTGCTGATAAAACAGAGGCGGTGCTCCATTTCTGTTCTCTAAAAACAAAACAAACCCCCACCTCCTGCCCAAACTCCCATTTAAATTTTTTCATGCTGTCACAAGTCTCAGAGCACGGTACTCTTCAGCTCCACCTCGTGTAGGAAAATAACGACTGCACTCTCAGCTCTGACCAAAGGGAGCAACCATGCTGTGGAAAAGATGAAAAGTCAGGAACATTATTTAGGAATCAAACTAAAGGAAGAATTGATTTCCTGTAGAGCCTGAGTGAGAAAAGCAGGTCTTAACAGCTGACAGGAACTTCAGGAAAACATGGGTATTGGTTTCATTGATAAATTCAATTAAATCTGGAGAAAACTATACTGAATTTACTTAATACTGGCAAACTTTGGATAAAATCCCCACTGACCTAGGATTCCTAGCTGACTCCTTCAAAAGAGCCAAGTCAGCGCCTTCTCTGAGCAGCGGTATGTAGTACGTCAAACATCTTCACGAAAAACTACAGCCGACTATCTTTTAGTCACGTCATAAAGCCCAGAGGAGAACGCCTGGAAACGGTTTACGGAGAGGGGTGAGGTCCCCTTCTCGGCGAAGACGACTTAGCTGACTGGAGTAGTTTCCGCGCTCTCCGCGTCCCGCGCCGCAGCAGGCAAGGAAGCGAAGGGACCCCGGGTCCCGGTCGCCCGCAGCATCTCCCCAGAGTCCTCCTTCTGAGAAACCTGTGGGTCAGGGACGCTCACCTTCTGCTTGTCATTATAAACCTATGTTGAATATAAACTGAAATGTTTCTGTATATGAGAAGCTGAGAAATGTTTGAAAACAGTAACATAGACATCTTTTTGAGTATTGAATGGTAATTAGAAACTTTGATTTCTTAAACATTTTTAATAAAGGATTTTGAAATATATAATGAGTCGAAATATTTCTTAAGTTGATGATTTTCCGAGAACTCGTCCTTAGTCAATCTTATTGATTCTATGAGAGATGATTTATAAAATTATGTTAATTTTAAAGCATTTCCAGTAATTTCAGTTTACTTTCCTATCAAATTTTTTAATCCAAACTATAGAAGTGGGTTACTTTTTTCTTTTCCTGCCCCCCCCCTTTTTTTCCCCTACTCAATCTCATGGTGGAAGNCAGATATCCCTTTCTGAGTTGGCTGTGTCTCCCAGCTCAGGACACCTGGGTCTCTGGCTGACTCTTCAAATATCATTGCTAGTTTTAACTTTTCAGCCTGTTTTATTTAGATGTATTTGGTACTCTTGTTTAAAGTTCAGTGAATTAAAAGTACCTATGTCAATTTGCATTGTTAAGAACATCTGACCTCCGCCGCCGGGCTTCGCCGCTCGTGCTGGGACGCGCCTCCCCGCTCCTCGCCGCTTCCACCCCCGCGGCCGCCGCACCTCTCGCAGTCGGCACACACACCATGACGAAGACAGACAAGAAGTCCTTCAACCAGAGCCTGGCCGAGTGGAAGCTCTTCATCTACAACCGGACAACCGGAGAGTTCCTGGGGCGCACTGCCAAGAGCTGGGGTGAGCGGGCGGCGGTTGGGCACCCGGGCCGGCCGCGGTCTGGGGGGACGCCGGGCGGGGTCGGGTGGGAAGGGAAGGCGGGAGGTGGCTCCCCGCGTGGGGGCCCCAGGAGCCACCGCCGCCCGCAGCGGTCTTCGTCTCGGTCGCCAGACTCGAACGCGAGCCGCAGCGGCGGCAGAGGAGTAGCGCGGCCCCATTCATTTCTCTCTGGGCCAACGGGCGGGCGAGGCGGCGGGGCCCGCTGGCAGCCCCCGCCGGCTCCTTCCTCCCGGCTGGGAGCGGGCGCACGTGCAGCCCGGGCCTGAGGCGCCGGAAGCCGGGGACCGCTGCCCCGAGCCCCGAGCGCGTGGGGGCCGAGTGCCCGGCCTCCTTTGTACGGAGCGCGCCGGCCCCGAGAGGCCCTGGCGGAGGCGGCCGGCTGCGCCGAGCGGTCGGGGAAGCTAGACCCTGCCCCACGCCCGGGGAGAGGAAATTTCCACTCCCGCCGCTATCTTGTGACTCGTCCACGCTGCCACCCCAGCCGGTCGGAAGAGTGTGAACGAGTGTTCACTGTGTGGGCTGCACGACTGTGTTAGCACACAAGCACACGGTATCCGAAAATGCAATTGAATTTGTCCAGTGAAAAGACCCTAAAAAGGTCGCTTCCTCCCTAATTCCTTTTTAGTGACACAGGTTTTCTTCCTTACCAACGTGCTTCAATTGGGGAAAGTAAATCCGGTCTGAAAGTCACGGGTTTTTGTTTGTTTGTTTTTTGCCCTGTGCTTTCCAAACGTGTGATGGTTGTATTTGCTAGCAGTTTTCCTCTGCATGGGTTCTTTGTTTTAAAAGAAATATTTAAACCATCCACCAGTGTGGTGCTGCCTTCGAGTGCCTCTTTTTTTGGAAAAACTGTTAACATCTGAATCAGGACTAGTGCTCCCCTCCTTTAAACTTAAGTTAACGTATTTTTTTTCCTTTTGAAAAATATTTTGTTAGTCGGACATGACAGACTTTTCTGCGTGAGAGTATTTCTAGACTGGAGAACTATTTGAGCACGACACTTTGAAAAGAAGCATGAAGAGTGAATTAGCTTAGGAAATAACTGTTGCTGCTACCTGAAATCGGCTCTTCCAGAATAGAAAGGCGGCTTAAAGCTCTATCACAAGTTGCAGGGGGGCCTTGGAGGGTTTTTTTTTAGCCCAAACCCTGCTTCAGAGATGAGAAAAGTGAGCCCCAGAGAAGCGGTGATTTTGTTTGTGTAAAATTACATATTCCACAGAGCCAAGAAAAGAACCCAGTTGTCCTTTAATCCTAGTCCAGCGGTTGTATTATTTTACAGATGCCTTGCCTCACAGCATGATAATCACGATTTTTATTCAAATGGCTGGCTGTGGGGAACCCACTAGTGTGATGAGGAAATAGATCTTGCATTTAGAATTAAATGGGGCGGGACTGTAAACAATTATTTTTGTTTTTAGAGTGTACTATTTGCTGAAGGAATATTTGAGTGGTGAAGAGGGATGAACTTGTGTAGACTACCTTTCTCAGTTCCAGTACTAAGTATCTTCATGTTCTGTTAGAGTGACATTTCTTTTCTTTTCTTTTGAATGACATTTCTTAATGCAGGGTGTGCTCCTCAACCTTTGTATCACGTGCTGTTGGGGTAGAGATATTATTTGATATCAGAGAATGCAGGATTATGTAAGCGCAGTGGAAGGAATACAAGTGAAGCTGGAATTAGATTTAGAAGAATGAAGGCAAGGCTTTTTATTTTCTGAATGGAAATTGTCAGCAAAGAGTAAATTTCTGCATTTATTGTAATAATAGTAAACCAGCACCGAATGGCATAAATAGGTGAGAACTATACATAATCCTATCACAGCGGGCAGAAGGACACTCCGAGGAGATGTGGGGGAGTGGTGCCTGTAGGCTGGAATCCAGCTGTCAACGCTGTGTTCCCTCAAGCATGGGGTCCACCTGGAGAAGGCTATCATCTTGCCTTTATCAGAAAGGCAGTGTATGAGTGAGTTGCCTGATCTCATTACCCCTGTTAGACACTCAGTAGGGTCAACTCTTTGCAACCCCATGGAGTATAGCCCATTGGGCTCCTCTGTCCATGGAATTCTCCAGGCAAGGATACCAGAGTGGGTAGCCATTCCCTTCTCCAGGGGTTCTTCCCAACTGGAGAAGTCCACTATGCATATATCAGTACATTTGTGGGCAGACTTAATGCATATAATGTTATTGATTTTTTTTTTTAACAGATCATACAGTAAATGTTGCTTTATAATCTTTTGAGTATATTATGGGCCTCTTCCTGTGTTATTAATAAAGATCTATATCATATTTAATAGCTATTCTATTGTATAGTTAGATGTACTTTTTTTTTTTTTAGTCTAACATGTATCTTACGTATACATGGGAGATACCTATGGTAATAGAAATAATAATTCCATTTTTTTTTTTTAAAACCAGTGCATATTGTATGTACTGGGCCCTCCTCCCCCCTTTCTTTAATCCTTGTGCATTTTTGTAAATTGATTTCCTTGAAATATGTTTCTACTGGTGGAATTTCTGTGTTGCAGATAATCTGTGTACCTTTTATATTCTGAAAGCATGTTATAGTTTTTTTTTTTTTTCTTTTTAAACTTCATTTGTGCAGATGTTTTCTTTTGCTTTTGAAATTAATGAGGGAGGGGATTATTACATCTTTTTTTGACCTGGGTAGATTTGCTGGGCTGCTGGGGTGTAGAGACAACCTTTCTCTACCTCAAGGGTTCTATAAAGACATTCATTTAAGATGTTTCCTGATTTTAACTTTTACATTCAAGTCTTTAGCACATTTGTCCCAAATTTGTTACTTTCCAAGTGCACTATATATTATTAATATTTAAGAAGCAGTCTTGCTCTTTACATTTGGGATAAAGTGAGCATACCTCATGATCCATGTCATTGCCTTCTTTAAAACAGCTGTGTGAGGATTTTGACTAATTTCTTGTATATTTGGCTAATGTGTTACAGTTGATTTTGGCAGTTTCAGAATGCTTATATACATGTACTTTATTCCATTTTCACAGCTTTCTAATGCATACCATGTAGGTGATCAAAGTGTTCATAAGAGCCGATATCCAGGCTGAACGTAAGGGCAAGTCAGGAATAGTGAAAGTATTAGTTGCTCAGTTGTATCCAACTCTTTACTAGCCCATGGACTGTAGCCCACCAGACTCCTCTGTCCATGGAATTCTACAGGCAAGAATATTGGAGTGGGTAACCATTCCCTTCTCCAAGGGATCTTCCCCAACCAGGGATTGAATCTGGGTCTCCTGCATTACAGGCCGATTCTTCACTGGCTTGGTAGAGCACATCAGGAATAAGTAATCGCTACTTATGAAAATACAGGACAAAGAAAATTTAGCAGCTTGTGGCTGATGTTGCAAATATTAAACCTAAATGCATTATATACAATTAGAGTGAAAGACAGTTTAGAGGTCACCTAGTGTTATTTAATTGTAAACAGTGGGCCATGTGTTGAAACTAACGTTTTAAAACATAATGAAATAGAATGGAAAAATTACCAGTTTATTCTGCCTCATGAGTTTATTCTAAGGAAAAGTGTCTTTCGGTGAAACTTCACGTATTTTGTATGTTCAGATACCCTGATGTAAGATGTATTCCTTGTGGTGGCTCACAGTCAAAAAAAAAAAAGCTTGAAAGCCAGTAATATAGCCCTATACCCTCATTTCATAGGTGAGACAGTTGAACCCACAGATCTGATCTGTCAGAATTTACTTAGCTAGTGATAGAATCTTTGGCCTTCAGACAACTCCAAGACCAGAGTTGTTTTTTTTAAAAACTATGCCGTGAAAAAAAAAAAAAAAAAAACTATGCCGTGAAAATGTCATTTGCTCAGTTGTGTCCAGCTCTTCGTGACCCCAGGGACTGTAGCCCGCCAGATTCCTTTGCATGGGATTCTCCAGGCAAGAATACTGGGGAGGGTAGCCATTTCCTTCTCCAGTGGATCTTTCTAACCCAGGGATCGAACCTGGGTCTCCTGCATTGCAGGCAGACTCTTTACCATCTGAGCCACCAGGGAAACCCGTGACATGTCATTTAATGACATCTGCCTGTGGGCTTCTTTGACCTTCATTAAGGTTATCTCTCAGTAGATGCTTTAATGTTAATCTAAAACTCAAGGTACTGATTCCAAGCAGGGTCAGGATTCTGGACTAAAACTACTAACATC